TATATATATAATCTCCACACTGTTTAAATGTTTCCTTCCATTAAATATCTGGTGGAACTTAGAGAAGTGGTTCTCAACGCCTGGTCCCAGGCCAGCAGCATCAGTATCACCTGGCAACTTGTTACAAAAGTGAATTCATGAGTGTTATCATACCTTAAGGAAGGGACAATGGATTCACAACACTACAGACCATCCTGATGTACTTGAAAGTTTGAGAACCACTGACTTAAACAAGATGATCATGAGAAATGAGTTCAGGACTGGAATAATGACTCAGCAGTTAAAAGCATGCATTTCTCTTGCAGAGGACCAGGGTTTAGTTCTTAGCACCCATTTTGGGTGGCTCACAAGCACCTGTAACTCCAATTCCAAGGGGATCCAATATCTCTGGCCTATTGGAGAACGTGTACTCACATGCACATACCCACACACAGACACACAGACACAGACACACATACACAATTAACAACAATAATAAATAAATCTTTAAAAAAGAAACGAGTTAGCCAAGCATGGTGGCATACACCTTTAATTCCAGCACTTAGGAGGCAGAGGCAGGCAGATTTCTGTGAGATAGAGACCTTTCTGCCTGTTCTACATAGCGAGTTCAAGGCCAGCTAGACCTACAGAGAGACCTGTCCCAAAAAAGAAAGAAAGAAATGAGTTCAAAGAAGGCTAAATTTAACACTCCACACACCTCCTACAGTCCTTCAAAACTGAATAAAACACATCATGTTTTCAGTCACCTGCTCATTAATATACTCAATTACCAAACATACAGCAAGCTATTCTATACATTAATGTAGGCTAACTCTCTTCTAAAATAATCCTGAGGGACAGCCCTGGAGTTGGCACCACACTGAGCAATGAGTGACTCAATGGCATGAATCAGTAGCACAGCTGAAGGATAAGTGAGGCTGCAGGTCTTTATGGATGATGGCCAGACTCTGGAGGTCAAGGATGGCAGGTTCTCTGTGAGGATTTCTTCCTTAATGACCTCAAATTGGATGTTCCAAAGTTCTTTTCCCACCTGATCTTTTCCAGTGTCTTATGTTAGATTTAGAAAGAATAAAGTTTAGATAAATGACCAGAGCCATACCTTTTAGCAGACTGAACTTTGTTTATTCAGCGAGGGGCAAAAACCTTTGGGAGGGAATAAGAAGTTGTGCGGGGGTGGGAGGGGTTGCAGAGAATTCCTGTAGATTATATAGGGTTGGGAAAGTAAGAGCATAGACAGCTGGAGAGGAGTCTGAGCTAAGGCGTCCTTGGGAAATACATGATCCTTTCTTTCCTGGAGCCATTTGCTTGTATAAAACAAAGAAGCTGTTTCCGTTTGGATGTGGCTAGCTGTAACAGTGGAGCAAGAACTGAGAGAGAGACATGCTGGCAGGAGGAGTGGGTTGTCTGCCTTTTCTGAAGCTGTGGCATTCCATCACCTTACGTGTGTGCTTATACTGTTTTGGTTTCTCTGTGAACATGGTTCATAATCTCTTGTCTTTCTCTCATGATTCATTTTCTATATATCTGTAATGGTTTCTTTTAAAGTGATTTCTTGTTACCCATCTCCTCTCTACATTTATTTTTATAACATTTCTTTTTCATCAGCATTTCATATGTCTCTAGTAGTTTGTCTAATTATCTTATCATAAAGATTAAAGGTTGAATGTAAACCATGAGAGTTGTCAGTTAAAGGAATAAAAAAAGTGTTGAGATATACTTTAGATTTGCTAAAGCCTGAAAGCCACAAAGAACTACCAATGTGGCCTAACACAAAATTGTAAACTGATTTAAAACATGAAATTTTTGTCTAATTCAGTTGCACAGTTCTTGAGTGTAAATTTTGTTGTTGACGACGTGTTGTTGCAATATCAAAAGGTTGGGCATGCCTGGAACTAGGAAAACAGTGAAAAAACGAAGTGAAGGAAACCTTGATTGTTGGCTTATCAGAATAGAAGGAAAGCAGATTTTAGGGGTGAGGGGACACAGCAATACTTTGGCGAGTTTCCTGATTCCTGCAGGAAAGGCAGCATTTGCTGTCAGACTGGAAAGGTCTTTGAGGTCTTCGTGAGTGAGGTATGAAGTTCTAGACACGTAGAGTTAAAGATGAGGTGAAAGTGAATGAAGGGGAGAATTGGCAGCTGGACAGTGAGTGACTGAGAAGCACGTTTTCACAATTATTCTTTGAAAGTAAGATTTACTGTTAAAGTTCCTGATTTTCTGTTTTGGAGCTACACAGAATTTGATTGTTGAATTGTTTTATTCAGTGTGGACATAGATGAGCTAGGCACTTTAACAAGTCAGTGTGTGCCCAGAATTACTATTTGGCATCAGTTTTTGCAAATACTGAAGGAACTTTATTGACAAAGAGCCATGAAGATGAATAGGATTAAAATTACATACATGTCAGGATTGTGGCACAGCCACAGGTGTTGGAGCATCAGTGGTTCAATGGCTCTCAGTGTGAACTTAAAGTGCGACTCCAGTGGGAGAATGTCTTGTTGATTATTCTTCCTAGCCATGAGGCAGGAGGAGGGAAGGTGTGGAGACAGCAGACACCAAGGAATTTTGCTGGATCCTTGACCAGGAAAAAGAAAGCACTTGGCCTGCCCACTCACACTTCCCCAGGCACTGGACCTCCAGCCCCATTTCCCCATTCAAGGTTCTTCTGGACATGGCTGTGGGGATTTTGGTGATGCAACAGCAGCCACTTAAGCTCAGCGATAGTGACAGGAGCTGGGGCACTGCTCCAGCCACCTCTCAGATTTTGAGGCAGCCAGCACACCCAGGCAGCAGCTATGAGTGCCCCACTGTGCCATGCCTCCATGTGCCTGGCTTGTTGGAGCCCAGGCCTACAGGTGGCTACTAAGCCACACACCCATGGACAGCCCAGTCTTCATCACCCAGGTAACCAACCCCCAGGAGGATGAGGGTCAATCACCAGGCATAGGCAAGAAAGAACTTAGTAAGAAAGAAAACTACTGAAGAATCAAGATGGCGGCAGCATGACACCAGTGCAGGAGTAATGATGGCAGGAACAGCAGCTACTAGCAAAGCTGTGACTCCAAAGATGTGTCATCACTGGCTCCCACTGACCATGTAGAAAGATTTGAAAAGAGCAGATACCAAAAAGTCAAGTGGATTCTTGAGCATAAAGAGGAGGGTATTTGACTCATTTATCTCCTTGAACAAAAGTGAAAAGTGGTTTTCTCCAATATTAATATCCCTCTAGAGAGAAATTCAAGCCAGCAAGTAACTGTCACCTCTGTTTTCTTCACAGAAGTCAAAATATTCTTTTTCAAACATAAGTATAATCATGTGGACAAAGGTATAGAGACAAGAAATGGTAAGAACCAGTGTTATAGAAATTATGATCCCCTCCAGTGAGCTTGAAATTGTGGTCAGCCTCCCATGAATCTGGAGCTCTTATCTGTCATAAACTTGGAGCTGTAGTCCCCTCCTGTGAGCCTGAGGCTGTGGTCCCCTCCCTTGAACCTAGAAGTAGTAGTTCCTTACTGTAAGACAGAATTGTGGTCCCCTCCTATGAACCTGGAGCTGTGAGTCCAACCATGAGTCATAGTTCCACATTCCTCTGGTGGTGGGCTGATGGTGGAGCAGATTGGAGGGTGGAGAACTTCCCGACGAAGGCAGCAATTTCAGCCTTCTCTGAGTAGCCACATTCCCCACAATCACTTCCCCCAAGACCCCAGGTTGTACATGACAGTGACTTTGCTTCTGTGTTGGGCTTATGCTGGGAACAGGGGAGGTTTCTGTCATTTGCAGTCTAGTCTTGGGAGGACTGATTCTCAGGAATGGACTTCCCACTTCCCCTTGATGGCCAGCTATGGTTTTGACTCCACACATGGTCCTGGGCACCTAGGCCTTGATACTGGACCTTCCCATTCACAGGCACAAAGAAGTTTTCCATCATTTTTCTATTACTCTTCTATAGCACCACTGTACCTTCTCCTGTGCCCTACAGGAAATGTAAAACCTAGAGATAAATATTACAGTGTGGGAGATTTTAAAAAATTAAGTTCTTTAATAACTAAACTGACATAACTCTCAAACTAAAATTATGTATTTGTATTTTAGAATGTAAATTGAAATTTCTATTCGTCTAACATAATTTTTGAGTATTACCTACTGACAAAACTATACTACTAAGCTTTACCAATACTGTGAATTTCTCACTGTTGCTGTAATGAGTTTGGCATTCATTCCCCTTCCAAATTCTCCAACCTATAAAAAGGTCTTCAATGTAATCATGTTTTTTTTTTAAAAAAGCAATAATAATTTTAAAAAATCTTGATCCTATAAACCTGTAAACATATAAACCACTGGCTTTTGAAATATGGAAGCTTCCATTTCTCAACTTAGAAGTAAAATAAAAATGTTTAGTAATAGAAATACCACCATTACCAAATTTAAGTTTAATGTTACCAAAATGTAAACAGTAAATGAGACTAAAGCTATACGGTACAAAGACAGGCAGTTGCTTTTCTTTTAGTCTTGTATAACACTCTAAGGAAAAAAACTATACATTTATGATTCTATATTCTAGGTAAGCACTCTCAGCCAAGAGAGCTCTGAAAATCTTAAAGCTACATGTTCTTAATCAGATACTAGGAGAGGGGAAGAGTTGTAACTTGAAGGCAGGGTTGAGACTGCTACCGATCATCTGCTGCTGCAGCCTTTGGTCATAGGTGGAGGGACTTGAGAAGACATAGAAGTCTATGTGATTACTGCCTGCTCTGCATTAATCTGCATGCAGCTTGAGCAAAATGAGCAGCACGTTTTTCCAACATTTTGCCTAAATTCTAAAATTTAACCAAGAGAACTGGGTTGACTAAAATATATTAAACAAACAAGTAAACAAACTAAAATAGAAGCCAGGCTTAATGGCTCAGGACTGAAATACCAGCATTCAGGAAGTTAAGGATGGCTGGTGAGGTCAAAGCCAGGCACCTGTGCTGGCTACATAGTAAGTTCAAGGCCAGCCTAGGCCACAGAGTGAGACCCTGTCTTTGAAACAAAAGCAACAAGATAGGAAGGAAAGGAAAGGAAGAAAGGAAGGAAAGTCAAAGGCAAAATGAAAGAACCTATCATAACAGCCCCTAGTCAGTAACACTGAATGGTAGTGTACTGATGACCTCTCCGGATTCAGTGACAATGGCATCATAAACCCAGCGGCGGTTGCAGCGGCACTCGGGTCCACACTTGTTGGAGTTGCACTTGGGGCAGGGGTAGAAGCAGCCCAGGCAGTTCTTCTCCAGGCAGTCACACAGGTCAGCGTCATTACAGATGAGCCTGCCACTTTTATCGTACTTCTTCATAACTCTGCAATGAAAGAATGACACCAGTGAGATGGTGCTGCTATCCTCACCACTGAGAATAAACCACTGCACAGCTGTAGGAAACACTTACAATATGGACATAATCTGAACAAATCACTTTTTTACCTAACCTACAGTATAAACAAGCTCCTCTCACCTGACCTTTACTCCTCAGGACCCCACCTTACCCTCCACCAAAGATAGTGAATGAATGTGGGAATGATGGTAACAAAGTACTGGAAGCAGTGTGTTTTTCTCATTGAAAACAGTGAGAACTGAGGAGTCTGTCTGAATTTATGTGAGACAGATTTTCAGCCAAGGGATCAAAAGGCATGATTCTCTGATAAGATGGAGGTGGATCCTAGCTTCCAGTTTTCCAATTAATACTGGACATACTGTTTGAATAAAAGGACTGAAACCTGACTTGAGAGCACAGTTCTGTGAGACACCTGAAGAATCAGGCTGTTCTGAGAGTTCTGGTTCACGCTTGGCCTTAAAATGAATGCTGAGTCAGGCTGTTTCTTTATCCAGGTGCAACCATAATGTGGCGTAGAAAAGTTGCACACAGCAACTTCATATGAATGACCCTTTTATTCTGTGGGAACAACATCCCAGAGGTTACCCAGAAACACTCCACCATACTGAATGGCAGTGATGTTCTCGGGGGAATCGGCCAGTATGTGCACTGTTGGGGAATCTCCACTCATCTGAGAAAATCGGCTGGAAGAGCTAACTGAAGCGTCTCCTTACAAGTGTTCGTACTTTCCTTGAAAATATGACCATGTTGATGGTATTTTTCCCCTGCTAATTTTGGGTTCTTTTTCTCTCTTAAATGTACTCTACCAAATGCAGCTACATTTCTTAATGACTCAAAATGAAAAGCATCAGCTACTACACCATAATCATTAAAGGAAAAAAGAAGACTGGGTAGCAGGTTCTATATGCCATGTCTCCTGTTTCTTTATGACTTTTTCCCCCATGAGGAGGGAGAATGCAGGTTACCAAGGTGACAGGATCCTATAGCCTAAGCCCTGAGCAAAGACAAAATGCTCAGTGCCAGAGGGCAGCACTGGAGTCTAGACCTTGCTTTGGATTGCTATAATTTCTCTGCCTACCTCTATAACATTACCTAGGAAAAAAAGACTTACAAGAACTCTACCACCCATTCAAAACTTTTAAATACATTCCTCAACACAGAGCTGCTGGAAAGCCTTGGGTAGCAGTGTATCCGTTATTACCATGAGATCCGAAGGATGACCCCTCATTCAGGTGGTCACATTGGGTGTCTCTGCACCCTTTGTCCCCAGGCAGGTATAATGCTGCCAATCTTCCTTCAGTTCAGTTGAAGTAATGAAGCCCCTCCCTTTCCCCCTTTCCTAGTAAAGTAGTTAAGAGAAAGGACCAGTCTCATTACCTTACATTAGCAGGAATGCCTTCTAATGAAGAGCAAGGAGACCATCCTAAGCCCTCAGAAAACTCAGCAGAAGGGATTTCATCTTTCTTACAACAATGATAGTGCTGAGCATTCCTAAAACCAAATGAGAGTACCAGCTAGAGTCTTCCTCTCTTTGCTTGAGCCTAGATACCTCCCTGCCTTGAGAACAACTTTAGGCATCCAGACACAAGTTTTATGGTCTCCTGCCCACAGGATGCTATTTCCTGCCAAAACCTGAGCTATCATATGCATATGTGCCACATATATAAAGAATTGCATCTTTGAAATCATCTTCCTGTCCCATTCATTGTATCCCTCTTCCCACACTTCCAAGAGGACCTACATCCTGGTATAAAAATCACATCCTAGCTGGGCATGCTCGTGTGTGCCTTTAATCCCAGCACTTGGGAGGCAGAGGCAGGTGAATCTCTGTGAGTTCAAGGCCAGCCTGGTCTACATAGTGAGTTCCAGGCCAGCTGGGGCTATAGGGAGATACTGTCTCAAAAACAACAACAACAACAATGACAAAAATCACATCCACATCCTTATTTTACTTCCAGTTATCCCACACAGGTATGTATTCCCAAGAATACTGTGATTTTTCTTCTATAATTTGCTTTTTTATTGAACACCATGACGAGATTCTTCTGTGATACCATATATACTTGCATTCAAAATTTCTTTTATATGTACACTGACTATACTTTAAATTATCAATTGTTCCCATTATGCATGGCCATTTAGCTTATCAACACTTCATTATTTTTCTATTACAGTGCTATTTTAAAACTCCTTAAATTGGGGCTGGAGAGATTACTCAGTAGTCAAAGGCACTGGCTACTCTTGTAGTAGACCTGGGTTCAGCTACCAACACCCCTATGGTGGCTAACCGGCCGTAACTCCAGTTCCAGGCAATCTGATGCCCTCTTCTGACCACTCTGGGCACTGCACGATACGACATGCAGGTGACACACTCAGACACATAAAGTAAAAATAACAAATAAAACATTTTTTAAAGAATGAACCTTAGTTTGAGATTTAGATTCTCTTTCTCTCATGTCACACACACACACACACACACACACACACACACACACACACACACAGATGCATAGTTTCTCTAAGTAACCCAGGCTGGCCTTTAATTTGTAATCCTCTGCCTTACATCCCAAGTGCTGGGATCACAGACACATGCCACCACACCTAGCTCTCAGTAGAGTCTGTTTCTTGTTGATGCTAACATCCATGAGGTGCTATGGCACTTTGGAAGAAATGTTTTAAACTGTAACAAGATGTAACCTTTAATTACTTTGCTTTAAAATCAAGGAGAACTTGTGCAGTTTATAATCCCCCAAATTAGTATAAGTCATGATCTTACTTGTATTTTACAGAAAAATATTCATTCATCTTTGACATCCGTGCTTTCTTTATCTGCTGCCTTGTTTCAGGATTAAAGTCTGCCACCTGTGGTCCAGGGTTTTGAAATGCCAAACATTTTAGCTGCCGCTCTATCTGTTGCTGTGAAATGAACAAAACATTTTAGTAATAAAAGCCAGATAGATTTATTCATTTTGTATTCTTCCAATATGAACTGCCTATAAATCTTATCAGCATACCATAAAAGCATATTTCTTTTATACAGAGAAATCAGTACTTTAATCTGACTAAATTTCAAAAGCTAATGCACTCTCAAATTAAGCCATTCTTTCTAACCAAAGAAATAGAGTACAAAACTCATATAATAAAACATGGAAAAGAATCAGGAGAGAACAGAAGACATTTTTATGCCAGCCAAACAGCAGCCAGCTTTGCAAATCTGAGAGCCCTGAACCCCAGAATTAGCCTTTTCTTGGGGAAAAGGACAAAGGAGTTAAGGGCCCTTCCTTAGCTGTCAGGTGAAGCCCACACAGAGTGCCAAAGCCCAGGGAACCCAAGGTGCACACAGCCTCCCTGCTCCCCCAGACCCCTGGAATATGTCTCTAAACCACAGATGGCACCACTGAGATGTCACCCAGTCAAAGCCAGATTTCAACAAGGAAAAATCTTGTTAGAACAACTTTTTGGAGTGTTAGCGGAAATTTTTCAGAAGTCTTTGGGCAACTTTTATATTTAGAAATTAAATAGGGCCTGGTTGTGAGGACAATCAACAAAATGCTTCAATCAGAAAGGATGATGTTTTGTTGTTGTTGCTACTGTTGTTTGAGACAGGGTATATACTATAGTAGGCCAATCTGTAATACACTATGTAGCCCAGGCTGGCCTTGAACTTGTGTAATCCTTTTGCCTCAGCCTCCCAAGCACCGAGATTACAAGTGTATGTACTATACCCAGTGTGATGACTTTCTCTAAACATATTAATACATTTGTCAGGAGGGAAGGAAATGCTCTTCTGGAGGATTCTAGAAGAAAATGATCTAAGTGATCTGAAAACACACAGGCTGGTTTCCAGTGGAAAGGCAACCCGTAAAAGCAAATAGGACACTTTCAATGTGTCAGTGGGCTTTCTGCAGCTTGTTTAGTTTAACAGTAGTCAAGGTAGTCTGAAATAATACATTTCTTTAAAGTCTCATCTTAATATTGGTATATTGGTTTATGAATACTTTATGAAACAGCTCTGCATTTAGGGATAGCTATGAAATGTGTAAACCTATCCTATCCATTAGTACTCTCAGTTGTGTAAGAATAGAGCCAGGCATGGAGACAGAAACAGGTGGATCTCTGTGAGCACCAGGCCTAGCTAGGGCTACAGAGAGACCATGTCTCAAACAAAAGAAAACAAAACAAAATACCAGATGAGCCTATCGCTGTTCAAGTCTTGGCTCTGCCCTTGGTTGGCTGTATGCCTTGAACAAATTCTTACTTCTGTAAACCTCTGTTCCTCGATTTATAAAATATGGCTAATAGTACCTTGTGATAAGAATTAGGTGAATCAATATACACAAAGTTTTACAGCCATGGTATGGTAAGAACAAAAATGCAAGTTTGTTAAAGAAATACACTTGACCATATTCTTTTAAAATATTCTTTTGTGAGGACAAGATTCTGTCGCATAGAACACTGGACTGAAGACAAGGAACACAGAAGCAAAGAGGAAAATATGTCAGGCAAGCCCAACAACTGGAGAACAAAGCTTCTTCCTTTGGAATCCTGACAGCATGTGGGTGTCTCAGACACCCGCAAGTTGGAAATTCAACACACAACATAGAAGCATAGAATCTGAGCAATACCAGTTGCTTCTGTCCAATCTGATTGTTTTTTTCTGCAAAAGTTTGTTCGGTGTGTTCTTCTTGAGTGGATTTGTTCTTATCCGATTGTTCGTTCATCTTGAGCACTAAAAAAGTTAATTGCAGAGAAATAAAACACATTTATATCATACACCTTTAGTCATTTCATCTTATGGCTCCCTTTTATCTCCCTCATGTCCCCATTTCTTTCAAAGCCAGACTTCTTGAATGAGCTTGGCTTCAGTCACTCTTAACTCTTGCATCTTACTCTCCAAGGCCATTTCACCGGCATTTTCTCTTCCAGGTGCTCTACGAGCAAATCAATTGCATTTCTCACCATCCTTGGCATCATAGGCCTCTCTGGAACAGGCAACACTGGGGACCAACCCTCTCCTGCATAAGAAGACTGTGGATTCTTACACCTCTATCTTTCTCCTCTGTATTTACTCTTTTGAAAGAGAGTGAGGCATCTAGATGTCATTCATTCCCAGCAATTATAAAGCTTCCTTTCATTCCCATGCCTTCTGACAGTGCGTTTTATCATTTGCAAAGCTGCCATTAAAAGTCTTGACCCTAGGGCTGGAAAGATGGCTCAGTAGTTATACAAGCACTGACTGCTTTTGCAGAGGACCTGGGTTCAATTCCCAGCACCCACACGGTGGCTAACAATCGTCTATTAACTCCAGTTCCAGGGGAATTCGATGTTCTCTTCTGATCTCTATAGGTATTGCATGATACAGGTACACTTACATATATGGAGACAATACACTCATACACGTAAAAAAATGAAAACAAATAAAAAATATTTAAAAAAATAAAAAGTCTTGACCCCTTCACTAGAGCTTTCTGACACATTTCTAAAGCAACTTGAGATAATTGAAAGTCATTACTTTGTCATAACACTCAGTTGCTAAAATGCCTGTAACTGAGTTTAAAATAGCACCAGGCATCCAAGGTGCTAGTGTGTATGCTTTGTATGTTTACACATATGTGGGTGATTAATGCAAAATCAATAAGCAATGCTGATAGTGAGCATATTGTATAGGGCTGGTCTGTAGTGCTCCATGAGAAAAGGCCACACTATAGAAGGAACTTCCACAATCCCAGCTGCTTTTCCCACCTCTCATCAGTTACGTTGCTGATTACAGGGTGTTTATTTCTTCCATAGGAACCTCGGGGTTAAGCTCTGTTAGGTTGGTGTGGATCATTAGGCACCAGCTCCTTGCTGACCAACTGAGATCAATGGGTCTTCTCCTGACATCTAGTCGACACCTCTAGCTGCTCCCTCCTCTGTATACTACTTCCTATTTCCCAATCTTAGGTAAGGAAATAATGTCAATTTTTCTTTTCTGGTATTTCTAGCATTGTTTCTTCCTTTCTGTTCTCTATGGAGTAGTTTATCTTAATCACAACAGTAATTCTAATATGATCAGTGGCAGTATAAAAAATGGCAGTACATTACCCTTCACCAAGATGCCAGCTTGACTAACTTTTAGACAGGTTTCTTTCTGGCCTCTCTTTCCATATGTTGTGAGGTGTTTTACCAGAGAAGACCACTCAAAGTTTTGCCGAATGAAAGTCATTGCTGGCCAGGGCTGCTACACAAGGTTGTCGGAACCCAGGTGTGTAGCCCTGAGCCATCCCTAGGGTAAGCTTTTATACAGAGAAACCATAACCATGGCTGAAAAGTGTAAGTGCCCAAGCTTACAGGTGCAAAGCCCCCTTGGCAATTTCTATTCTATTAAGCAACAATTACTATTTTGCAGAAGCAAGCCAAGCATAGCCTACAGAAGCCATATATCTGCACTTAGCAGGTGCTCTCCAGGACACTCTGCCCTGTTCCCAAGATAACTGGGGTCCTGCTACATGTGTTCTCATATCCTGATAATTTCAGAGATTAGAGTCAGCCTAAACTTTAACAAGAAGGTGCCCTACTACATACCAAGTATTTACGTAGGGGAAAAAAACCCAAGATATTGGCTATTGGAAAATTTTCTCTGCCCTTTACTACTTTACTATCAATCATTTCACAAAAGGACTATCCTTCTTAAAGACAGGGAAGTTCCCCCTTTGAAATTCAATCAAGGAAGATATGATCAAGGAACATAGCACTCTCTCTTCCATTCTACATGGGAAGATAAGAGTCTAACCTTGATCTACTACTAACTAGCAAATGTAATACAGATGAACTTATCACAGAGAAAGACATTTGCAAACTCAGAAGTCACTTAGTGTTCTGAACACATCCTACTGACCAGTGCCAAGTTCTTCAGTACTTATCTACCCCTTAAGAAACTTTTTACCCTTTGCTTCAATGCAGCTGAGTTCAGACAGTTCTGGTCTTTTATTGCAATAGCCTTCCTTGCATGATTAAAAATGCCTGTTAGCAGATGGATGAATAAAGAAAATGTGACATAGGTACAGAATAGAGTACTATTTGGTCACAAAAAAAAATTAAATCATGTCATTTTTCAGGAAAAATGGATGGAACTGGAGGATACCATGTTAAGCAAAATAAGAAAAACACAGAAAAACAAATATCACAAGTTTTCTCATATATGGAAAATAGAGGAGAAGGAGGAAGAGCAGGAAGAAGAGAACAAAGGGAAAACATGAAAGTAGATAAGGGAATATTAGGAAAAGGGAAGGAAATTGGGGGCCGGGGAGAAGGGAGACAGGGTAGACCAGTGCATGATATGCATCAATAGAAATCAAACAATGAGTCCCATGCATTTTACAGTTACAGTACAATTTTTTAAATGAGGGAAAAGCCTAGAGGGGTGGGTTGCACTTTGTACAAAGTGTGGTTTTTTTCTTTGACACTGTTGAATGCAATTTCAGATTTTATCAACCAAACACTGCTGCAGATCATTTTCCAATATGTATAAAATCCTGTAAAGCTATTTTATTTTATTGTGAAGCTGTTCTAAAACCATAAATTCTTTACTAAACTCCAGACCTCCTAAAGTTATAGAGAATCATGATAATCTGTGTAGTTACAAACTCTGTACGAATCCAATTTTAGGAAATTATGGAAGATATTGGAATAGGAAAAGCAGATATCATTTTCTCCATCCAGTCTTGCCATCTCATCCCTAAATACATTGCCCATTCCACACATTCCCAAACTGTTCATCTAGTACATTCTGACCTTGTTTCCATTCCTAAATTAGAAATTTGTTAAGTATTTCTCCTAAAGGTTTTGGTGATTGCTCTCGGTTTGCACCCAGCTTCCCTGGAGGACAGTGAAAGTCTATCACAGTTGTTTCCAACTAGTTGCCTAGATGCATCTCAGCACAAGGGCACTTGGGCCAATGCTACCTGGCTTGACTGCTGTCACTAACATCCTCCCATCTCTCAGCTAACCAGAGCTTTTCACGTTGAGCTTTGAGCCCTGTCTCCCTTCCAAAAGGCTCCTCCTGATCCACTCAGATTGTCTTCTCTCTTGGGCTCAGTTTGGAGCTTCTTCAAGAAAATTTCTAAAAGGAGCTCCAAATCCCTTTGCATAATAAATATTTCTCCTCAAAGGAAAGATTTTAAAGAGTGTCTGTACAAGCAGAAGCTTTCCTGAAAAGGCATGGGATTTAAAGTACACTGGGAGAGTTTCCTTAGGAAAATCCTTTGTTCAAGGCACAGTTACTTAAGTCACTCCTGAAATGTATGTTTGGCACATAAACGAGGAAAGCTGCTCTTTTGTGTTCCTAGTTTCATTTCTGTTGCTGTGATGAAATACTCTGACAAAAGCAACTTAGGAAAGAAATGGTCTATTTTAGCTCAAGGGTCCAGCTTACATACAGTCAATCATTACAGGGAAACCACAGCGCCAGGAGCTTGAGACACCTGGCCCCAGAACCCACGGTCAAGAAACACAGGAATGAGTGCATCCTGGCACTCATCTTGCTTTCTGTTCTTTTATTCCATTCATGATCCCATCTAGGGAACTGTACCCCTCTTACCTAAATTGCCATAATCAAGGTAAGTCCCCATGTCCCCTGGCCAACTAGTCCTAGATAATCTCTCACTGAGACTTTCCTCACTGGAGAGTCTAGAGTGTGTCAGGTGGCCTTTAATCCCAGCACTAGGGAAGCAGAGGCAGGTGGATCTCTGTGAGAGCAAGGCCAACCTGATCTACATAGCAAGTTCCAGGCCAGCTGGGGCTACAGGGAGACTGTATCTCAACCCCCACCCTCTGCAAAAAAATAACAAAAAACAAAAGAACAAACAAAGAAACAAAACCCTATCCATCACATATTCCAAATAAAGCAAAAAAAAAATTATAATAAAATTTCACAAGGTAGTGAAATTATAATTAGGTTTTGTTATAAACCCAAAACATTGGTCCCAGGAAAGTAATAAAAACGCCCCTTCCCTTTCCCTTGTTTGTAGTTCCTAAGGCAGAAGTTCTTAACCACACAGTGCAGGGGGTCTTTCAATTCAGAGATGGCTCAGCGGTTAAGCACTGACTGCTCTTGCAGAGGTCCCAGGTTCTATTCCCAGCACCCACATGGTGGTTACGAACTGTCCTTAACCCCAGTTCTAGGGGAATCCAAAGCCCTCTTCTGACTTCCATGGCATTGCACAACACGGGCGCACTCACATACACGCAGGCAATACACTCTCACACATAAAATAAAAACAACAAAATATTTTTAAAAAATAAGTTAAAAAATGCGTATTTATTTCCACTAACTTTTAACTGAAATTCCTGCATTTCCTTCTGTAATAATGGAACCAGGAAACCCCAGAGGTGTTAGTAATACTACAGCTTGGTTGACTATTCAAGCACAGATTTTAGTAACCTGAAATAAGAACATACGTTTAAAAATTGAAATGAAAAAAGACCACAAAGCCAAGCAGGGTGGTTTGTGAGTTTAAGCCCAGTACTCAGGAGACAGAGGCAGGCAGATTTCTATGAGTTCGAAGTCAGCCTGGTCTACATAGTGCATTCCAGGCTAGCCAGGAATAGTGAGACCCCATCCTTAAAAACAAAAATAAACTGACTTTAGAAAGATGTTCCAAGACCATGCTTCTAGAGCTACACAAGGTTCCTGCTTATGGTCAATAAACAGGCTTGTATCAGAATATAAAGCCATGAACTGAT